TATAGTTCGATGGAATCTTCAGGGCACTTACAGAATTATTCCGTTTTTCTTAGAAAATACAATAGAAATCTAAGGAATAATTGAATAATTCTAATAGGAATCCATTTCGAATAATGTCGTAATACGTACTCTAATAAACTCTTAAAATCACATTTGACACTTATTAAGTCGATATTGCTCCGCGCTTTGATACAAAGAGAGAAAAAGACACATAGCGGAATCTGACAAAGATGTATAGAGATCAGTTGCAACATCATTTATTTCTTCGCAATTGGCAAGTCTGGATCTACGAACGATACTTCGACTAGAGAAAAATTTGAAAGAAGATATAACAGTCCAAAATCTGTAATCGCAAAATGCTACCGCACACTGTCCTCAAAGTAGATGTAAACTACATAGCAACGTACACTTAGGGTACATCGTCCATTGTTCAAGGCTGGAAATGATAAATCGATATTTGGTTCGTATAATCGTGCTACCAAATATCGATTTCTCATCTTCAGCCCTGAAAAATGGACGTTGCTATGTAGTTTACATCTATTTTGTCAGAGAGTAGCGTGCGATAGCGGTTACAGATTTGTTTGGGCCATCATGTCCTCTCTCAGATTTCTCTCTGCTTCGACTTGCAAAAGGGGCGTAATTTACCCAAATTGAGCACACCATAGATTTGTTCACATCGCATGCTTCAACATGCTCCTGCTATAGTTCCTACTCATTCTAATGAGCGCATTGGAGTGAGTAGGAGCTATGATGGGACATGTTGGATCATGCGACGCGAATAAACCTCATGTCAATCTCTTCCACCATGTTTTTGACGACTGAGGCTACGGTTCACTTGATGCTACAAATGCTTCGAAGCATTTTCTGATTGGTTAATTAGTAAAATTCTTTCTTTCGATTGGTCAATCGAATGCTTCAAAGCATTTGTAGCGCCAAGTGGATCACACCCTGAAACTACTCACTTTGAAACATTAGATAACTTTTTTTAAATAATTACGGAGACAAGACAGTTAGTTTCACTACGTACGCGTGATAATTATAATGCTGTATAATATCAGTGCCTTACAATTTCTACACGAACAAAGAAATATATTGTACAAAAAAGAGATTAATAAATTAAATTGCTTTTCTTATAATTAACTATGATATAAAAGTATATACAAAAACAGAAATTTTCATTAGGAATTAACTGTATGTACAAAGTGTTGTAGAACGGTGCCAAAATAATGAACGATAATGTACAAACACTAAGTAAAAAAAAAGACGAAAAATATGTAATAAATCTGTTGATGACAAGAATAAAATTTAAGAGTATTCATGATTGATATACTTCATATTAATAGGACCTAGTGATCACCTTTACATTTGACATCATTTCGTAAGAAAGATCTATTTGAAAATTTATATAGAGACGTAACGAAACTATAAACATATATAGAATATATAGTTTTTTCAGTCTATTTTTTAAAAAGATTTTTTTCTTATGAGTAACATTTATTCGCATCATATTTCTGTATTCAGAAAAAATATACATAAATATGTACATAAGAGGCTCACTCTTTTGCATGTAGATATTGTATGCATGCGCATCAAATAATGTTGCATAAATTGCATTATAATTACGAAAATAAGTAGCAAAATATTGTTATTTGTAAATAACTATCGAGCTTTTTCTAATAAATAATAGTTTGATACGTATATGTTTGAATCAAAACATATAGAGTGTACATACGAATTTTCGATATTTTGAAATGAAGCAAAATAAAAATAAACACATATTTCTGTTTTTACTATAAAAAGCAACAAAAAGTTTCTTACTAAAAAATTATCAAACTTTTATATGAACGTCTTTAGTGATAAAGGAATTTGAGTTGGAATTCCTTTTCATTCCAAGTGTGCCGCATATGATGCCAATGGCAGTTACAATTCGATTGCGCAAAACATTTATTTTGTTATATTTAACATTTGACTTGTAAGTTCCAATGAAAGAGAACATAATCGGATCATTTTTCTTTTTCAATAAAAACACTGTACACTCTAACAAATTACCTGAACGAATTATCTGCTAAAGTTGTATTTCCACAAATTACACACTTATATCCGAATATCTTGTTCTAACAGGAGCTCCATCATTGAAGTTTACAAATCTGTTAAATATTAAGTACAATTTTTTTAGTTTCACCAAGGTGCCGATCGTTTTGCACAATAAAATTGTGATTGCATTTGTGACATGTTGCAGCGCAAACACATTCCATTTAGTATGAAATGGAATCAATATCCTTCATATCATTAAAATGTTCATGTGAAAGTTTGATAATTTTTTGTAAATAATTTTTATTTGTTCTTTACAATCAAAATATCCAGAAATATGTATCTGTATACATTCCTTTCAACATTAAAAAATATCGAAGGTTTATTGTATATACTTTGTATACATCCCGTGTACACCCTTTTCTTTCTCTCTTTACACATCTATATACTAAATAGTATCTATATACTAAATAGTAATGTAGAGCATTTAAATCTTAAATTTGCAAATAACTCATAAGAAAAGTATTATTGCAATCTGAGAGATACTATTTCATATTGTTTTGACATCATAAGTAGATGTTGTAGCAGAATAAATATCTTTGTTCATAGCAAAAAAAATAAGAATGAAATATTATTGTGCTTTCCTTTATTTTCCTCGCCTATTTATTATTATTCCTGACAAATCTGACTTTGATTATTGTCTGTGCGTGTATCTTTTTGAACGTATGCGTGCATATGAAACATATTATTAAATATCTATTTTACGAAAATATAATGGAGTAATCCATAAGTTCTTTTCTATGATGTTATATCAGAGACTGAAATATAAACACTGAATGAAAGCTTATCATTTTCGCTGTACTGCATCTTCCTGCTGCACTCATATATGTCTCATGGGAAACATCATCGTTATGTATCGATCCTCACGATACATCCTCATTTGATGTGACTTTGCAGGTGCAACAGGGTTCTGGTGGCCCGCCTACATCAGGTCTTCAGGGAGTTGGTGTGCCAGTCAATCAGCAAGGCATGTTCATGACACAAGGTGGTGTAGGTGGCAGAGCCACCGGATTTCCGGTCGGCGGTATGGGTAGTAGCGCCCTGCAAGGGCCCCTGGCCTACCTGGAAAAGACAACGAGCAACATAGGGATGCCAGAGAGGCGGAGTTGACGCGGAAGGGGGAGGGGCCGGGGCCGGGGTCGTGGAAGAGGCCGAGGTAGAGGAAGAGGCGGCGGTGGCAGCGGCCTACCGCCGCCGCCACCGCTTCTCGATCCCTCAGACCCGTCGTCCTACGCTGCTGCTGCCGCAGTCGCAGCTGCTGCGGCGGCGCCCCTTCCCTCTCCGCAACAGCAGCCTCCTCCGCCTTGCACATAATACGTGTGGCATTTTTAATTTCTTCTTCTGGAAGAGAGAGAGAGAGAGAGAGAGAGAGAGAGAGAGAGAGAGAGAGAGACTACGTTTTGTACTTTCAAGGTCAAGGGTCATTTAGGTTGTTATGAGATTGTGTTCGATGTTGAATTGTTGATTTGAATGTACTGTATCAATGGTGATGATAGTGATAATGCTGATAATTAAAGTGCAGTTGATATGCGTTATTGTTATATTGTGGAAATAGACACAACAATGCATACAAATATCATATAATTTACGAACTTACTGAGGTCTACATGGTAAACGCGTTTTAACAGTGCCAGTTTTATTGTGATTCAGCTTTGGATTGACATTACGACTATATGAACATTCTTTCGCATTCCTCCTGAAACTGTTCTGTACGCGAAAGACAGATTTTGTATTCTTTGTACTAGTCGTAGAAATCGTAAGATACGGGGGCGAGCTTACGTGGAAATGTAAAATTGCGACGTAGAGTGACAAAAGTATGATAATACATTGCAACTGAAGCGGCAATAAATTGTACATAATAATGAGATTATATGAGATGTGAGCAACATGATACTTTTACTTGTACATTAAGGATAAGGATAAGGATCTTCCTATTTCTTTATACTATATCGTTAGTTTGTATTCTCTGAGATCGCCGACACTTTTATAATAAGCTGCGTTCATCGCTTCTACAGTGCCTTTGGACACCTATCAAATGTACTGTTCGTGCGATATCAATAAAATATACTAATGTATCGTGCAAAATCAAATATATAATATGAATATTATGTTTGTTGATCGCACTAATATAAGCATTTCTGTCCTGAATATTTACGTACAAACTCAAAATTTTTATCCACGTTTACATAAATTCTTCAAAGTATAACACACTCCGTGACCGTAAAGTATACTTATTACATAGCATTAGATAGCATTAGATAGCATTAATACACATAAAGCGAATCTTAAGATGTAGTCAAGATTTAAAAAAAAATCTTAAATATTTTGTCTTTTTATTGACATATTTTTAGTTATTTGATTAATAATTTGTATTATGTACCATTACAGTACTTATAAGTACCGCGATGTGTTCTACGAATCCACGAAGTACATAATAATTTTATATCAGGATACATTGTAAAATAATCAAATTTTAGTTTTAAAAAAAAGTTAATATTTATCCATAATTAAAACAATTATTTTAAAAATTATTTAAAAGTATTAGTTTTATTTGAAATTATTTATGTTTATATAGTTACAATGTAGATATGTACTGAAAATAATGTACAAGATAGCAATTTTATGCGTGTTTTTTTAAGTAATGTGATAACCAAAAGAAATATTTTATATATGAATTGTCGCTTTTAATATGATAATATAAAAACAAATCTATTTTTCCTATTAATAAGCAATTTTTATATATTGTCTTTTATAATCCCAGGACAGAAAATGCTTATATTACTCGCTATTTTTTAAATCTGATGTATTCATATACAACATATGCAACTCTTTCATCCTGTACAATATTATATTGTATGCACTGTAGTATACATGTAGTTAATACAAATGTTAATTATATACATATACAGAGCACGCTTCCTTATTTTCACTATTCCAGATAGTTTAAAATCCTGATTATAAGGTCTTCGAGATTATAAGGTCTATTTACCAAAAGAAAAGCTCGTCAGCTTTAACATACGAAAGCAATTCGACTGTACAAAATTGTAAAAGAGTTGTACAAAACTTATTTTCAAAACCGTTTTATAATCAAACGTAATAATCGCATGTATAAAATGGGATGATCAGTTTCAATTTGTAATGGAAACTGATATTTTATATAGGGGAATAGTGTCTAATAGATAAAAAATCCTTTTTCCGGATGTTTTTTTTAAATGGGATGGAAAATCCAGTATTGTGAATTTATAAAAAGGTTCGAAGCTATATACTTTTAGTTTACTAATAGAAACAACTTGATAAGTTGTATGTTTTACAAACATTCGTATGTGTTAAAATGCAACGAATATATAATTATCAAATTATTACATGATACACACATGTATCTGGAGATGTCTTTGACAAATGTGAAATTTGTTTAAATTTGTTTAAAATAAGCAACTTTCATTTATGTAAATAATTAAGTATTCTATTTCATTTTTTTTTCCACTGCATGTATACATTACTTTTACGGATTATATATTTTAATCGTATAAGAAGTGGTAACTTAAAAGATGTAGGCACTGCCTAATATGGCGAGGTTTAATAATTTTGATTCAAAGGATTGCGTGTAATCGTCGAATATATAACAATCTATCAGATAGAAAATTTAGATAATTATTCGAGATATATCATCTATATAATGTAAAATATGTCAAATATATCAAGAATTATATATATATAAAACCTTGATTAACAAACTTAATATAATATTTTCTAATATTCTTATAATAATGGCAAAATTTCACATCATGCAGAAATTATCTTGCTAGCATTCGTTATTATATCGTAAATTTTATTAAAAATTTAAGTTTCAGCTTATTTAATATTCAGACTGTTGATATTGTTGAAAGATAATTTCCAAACCGCGTTAAAGCACATACATTCAACTTGCATTATTTTTAATCTTAAACTCTCGTAGAAACCTGATCAATGAGTCTGGTTTTATCTATCTAGTAAGATATTAGATTTAAAAAATGCTGTTACTGGCCTGCGGCAAGTTGTTTATGCGTTTTATCATCTTATCATTCTGTACTTTATTACTTCGAGTAATTGAATGCATCGCCCAATATAATCCTCTCCATATTAGGCGTAATTCCCCTATATATACCTATATATATGTATATTTCTATATACATATCCTTCTGTGTAAACTTTTACATATATGTATATAAAATTACAAGGACACGTTTGACGTGTAAGAGTTACGTAAAATGACCATCTGCAGACTGTTTAACAGAGCGCTTGTAGGAATTGTATAAGCGTACGTGTTGGACGCCCGGTCATTCCAGCCGGGATATATGGTAATTCGTCGTGGGCGGGACCCATGACACCAGCTATGTCCAAATGCATCCACGGCGTATCCTTGGTGATAAACTCTCTCAAAAATGCAGCGGCAGTACAAGAGCCACCACCCTTGCACTTCGCGATGTTATTTATATCAGCACCTTTGACTTTTTCTGAAAATTATCGGGATTTAATAACGGGACAATGATCCGAAGATAATAAAGAATGAATATATAAAGAAAGAAGTTTCTAAAATAGAGTTATAAAATAGATAACGTAACGCGTGCATAAATTCTTTGAATCACTCACTTGTTACTTCATCTGTGAAATGCTGCCACAGAGGTAATCTCCATACTCGATCGCCGGTTACCGTGCCAGCATTTCTCAGAGTTTCGTAAAGGTTGCCATCATTAGTAAATACTCCAGTTGCAGAATTCGACAAGGTGATTCTCATGGCACCAGTCAACGTAGCGATATCCAAGATAAATCTATATTTAAATTGAAGACACTTATCTATTTATAATTGTTTTAGATAATTTCTCTGCTCCGAAAATATTGATAAAATATGATAATATATTAATAACATAGAAAATATCTTTTTGCTAAAATTAGGATCCAAGAGATATAGTTCTTTTATACTAATTCTAAATATTAAGATCAATAAAATTTATTTTATTTAGTTTCAAGCAAACCTTGGGTTAAACTGTTCAGCGTAGGACAGCGCATCGGCGAGAATCAGCCTGCCTTCTGCGTCGGTGTTGTCCACGATGATGGTCTTGCCGTTCATCGCCCGCACTAGATCTCCCGGTTTCGTCGCATGTCCGGACGGTAGATTCTCCGTGAGTGGGATCAGTCCGACAATATTTTTCTTCAGTTTGAGTTCCGCTGCGGCTCGTATGGTAGCGGCCACACAGGCGGCGCCGCTCATATCTGCGCGCATCTCGTCCATCTCCGCTGATGGCTGCGAGAAATTGCTTACCTTAAAATCTCATTTTCTCGTTAATTATTTCTAGAAATAGAGAAAGACTGACTCACCTTAAGGCTGATGCCACCGGCATCGAAAGTAACTCCCTTGCCAACAAACGTCATTGGTGACTCGTTCGGATTCTCGGCGCCCTTGTAACTGATTTCGAGGAACTTGGGTGGTTCGATGCTACCGCGCGCCACACTAAGGAACGAATCCATCTTCTTCTGCTCGGCCCAGCTTTTGTCATGTACTTGTACATCAACCCCGAGATGCGTCAAAACCTCAAAGACCCTTTGCGAAAATATTGTCGGTGTCATCAGATTCGCGGGCGTGTCCGAGAGTTCGCGAGCCCAGTTTTGTGCTTGAGCTTTGATAATGCCAACTCGCCATTCTGCCCTTAAAGAATAATAAATTATTAGTTTTGTATTCTTAAACAAAATTTACATTTTTCAATTTTAATGAATGTTTTTTGATAAACATAAAGAAATATTACTTACTCTCCTTCTTCTCCGTATAGTGAAATCTTTGGTAATTTCTTTTTCTTTTCTTCATTTTTATAACCTTGATAAAGCCATGTGGATAAACCAGCTCCTTCAGCGGCAGCTTCCGCGTCTCCTAGCATTTCTAACTTAATGTCCTTTATCTCGACATCATCCAGTGCACGGCATCCCGCTAGAAAATAAAATTAAAACTTTAATAGAATATATAATATTTTATAATATAATTTTCTTTTTAACGATTTTCCTTTAAAACCTGTTTAAAAAATGGATAAATCATCCTGTATACTATAAACAATTATAATTACACTATAATCTTAAACGCACAAAAGAAATTAATACCATTTAATAAGATAAGAACATGTTTTGAAATTGTTTCAA